TGGCGCGATGACGGCGACGACTTGGAGCAGGCCGAGGCGGTGGAGATGGCGGAGACCCACCGGGAGACGTCGGGTGATGGTGGTGCCAGTCTGTTGGGTGTCGGCGAGGGGTGTTATATCGAGGGGGTTGGGGAAGGATGACGGGCTTAAGGGTGTTGTGGGTCTCCTGGGGTCTTGAGAGGTGTTTGAGATGCAGGTCCGAAGTAGGTGGGCGAGGGCGAGGGGGACTGCGGGAGAGGCACAATAGTTGGCATACGGGTTTCCGTTTCCGTTTGCGATGGCGATGGTGGAGCCCGTGCTAACAAGCTGGTATCCCAACGTATGGGCGTTGTCAATAGTGCCGAGCCATGTTTACCCTGTGCCATGCATTGGGATGCAGCTGCCGGGCGGGCGACTTGGGCCATCCTCCTTTTGCAGGAGACGTGGCTTCCTGCCATTCCGACCAGTTGGGGCAGGCCTCACGTGAAACGCATGAGCACCAGGCATTGGTGGTGCGGAAACGACGAAGACAGCGACAGTAATGGCGACGACGATGTCGGGATGTCTGGGCAGATTGAGAGAGGACGCCCAAGATGTTCTGAAGTCAAAGTGATCTGCGAAAGAGCCGGTTAGACAACGACGGGCGTTCTTGAGGTCAATGCGATAGCTGAAGTGTCACTGTTGCTCCCAGTGGAAGTGATGTTCGGGTGGGGCTCGTGCGCACCAAGTTGGGCACTTCACAGGAAATCAGATGAGCACGGTTGGTATGCTTGTTGATATCCGACCAGCTTATACAAAACCTCATTCTATAAATAGAACTCGGAACTAGGGTGCGGTGGACGGACTTGAGGTCAGTCCCTGACTACGTTGTGGGTCAATATGTGGTCTACGACGCTTCTGGCCACCGCACCTATCGACTAGTACCCAGTCTACGTCCGCATACGGCACCGATGCCAATGGCACCGAGGGGAACATCGTCTTCCTGCATCTCTCTTCACCCTGCAACCCCATCTGGGCCCTAAGTTGAGTGCCAGCGTGGCCACAGCGCAAAGGCAGCCTCGAAGGCGGGAGAGAGTAAGACTAAGCTGGATAGAGAGTGAATGACAGGATGGAAAATACGCGCGGGGAGATGTGGGACGTTTGGATTGCGTTTGGAGCAAAGCCTTCGTCTTAGTTATTCGAAGAGTCGGAAAGAAGAGGATGTGCTTGGGATGTGCATGAAAGGATTACGAAGTTGACATACAACATACTAATTAAATCATCGGTTGATTCGGTTCTCTGTTTGCGTGGCATACACAAGCAATCATCTAAAAAAACAAGGCAGCTGGAAGAGCCCCAGAGATGGCTAGCTAAGTAGGCTCCCGTGGACTTGGGCCTTGCTTGGGCCACTGTCAAATTCATCGCGTCATTGGACAGAGTTTGGCCTTATTATTTTCAGATGATGCAGAACATTCTACCTTTTTAGGCCTGAGTGAGGTGACAGTGACCTTACTGAAGCAAGGTGACATGAGCATGTGGGCGTAACGACTGGAAACTGCCGGCCCCAAGGCGCAGAGTGATAAGTATTGTACATTGCTATGTCCGCCTGCATTATTCGGCTCCATTCAGAGTAACCAGGGGGCAAGACTAGGGACGGGTAAGATTCCGCCGGCCTCTGAAAATAAGCTTCGAGTGTCAGGCGACCACATGGCCACCGCGCAAGCTTGATATAAGTTCAGCGGCCATCTAGTGTGATGCCGATCTCTTCCATCGTTGCCTCCTGGCGGGGCCGTCTGAAGCTATTCAGTACCCTATTCAAAGTACATAGGCCACACGGATCGCTGGCAGATCGTTGAAACTGGTCACGGCCAATGGCGGACCACTGGCAGCTACGGATAGTGAGTCGACAAGTTACAAATGGCAACACATATCTTCATCGATGTCCTCAGGCGTCCATCGCTCAAAATATAAACAGTACGCAAAATGAATTCTATTTTTCTCGGTATTGACATTGATATTGCCGAATACGCAGTTGCTTGCCTAACCCTGTGTGTTAGTTTTCAGTACTTTCCTCCAGGGTTTCTAGCATAATGACGCTTATTCCCTTCATAAGTTATATGAGTATGCATGTACTCTTTCAACCGAGGTCACTTTCATTTGGAAGGCTCCTTGGAACATCCCAAAGGTTCTTTATCTTGCTGCACGGTATCCGCCTTTTGTCGTTTTGCCTGCTCTGGTATATTGTAAGAAATGGTCTCGCAGACTATCACGCTGTACTTACTGGATTCGCTTTTGGCTAGTGCATCAATTTCAATGCGAATCTTATCAGAGACTTCTCCCATGTAAGTCGTCGTCACTCATTTGGTCGAAATTTTCTAACCGTGAATTGTCGTTTGGTGCTTCTAGGGCCAGCGAAGGTTTGTATATGTGTCTGTGAATGTATCTAATTGAAATTTCTTTGTCGCTAGAGTGTAGGGCTGACATTTTCTCAGCGATTTTTGCCTTGCGAACGTGGGCTGTCTGGAACAGAAATCGTAACATAACGATCTTCTTCTTTATATTCTTTCCAACTTTATGGACGACCGTATTCGTCCTTCTGGGTCTTTCAACAATTCGCCAAGGTGGGCCTCGAGCATTGTGTGGAACTCAGCCGCCGAGCTACTATTAACGGATGAGTGAGTAGACCCTAATTTTCCTGGCTTATGCAGGTCGAGCAGCGTATCGCCTCCGGTCCTGTATGGACTCAAATCGTTCCATCTTTTTATCGACTTTTGCCTGATATTCTTATTTTATTGTGGTAAGTCCCTTGACCATTCAAGTGTGTAGACCTTGTCTCACACGTTATACTCGTACGCAGTGGTTATCACTCTTTCCTCAATTAAGGCATATCAGCACTGTGAATTGGATGCTTTGGTCTGCGAATTTATAGACTGAATACGAAACCCAGGTATCAAAAATCCGGGAACGAGTTTTCTGAGACTTGTGCATCTCGATGGTATGTGTCTCTGTGTAGTCCTGGATGCTCCCACCTAAATCCTCTGTTTACACAGGGGTTCTCTACTATATATGCTGTTTATCATTCTCACTGGTGATAATGATTTTTCTTGGCATTACCGCTGTCTCAGAGCTGGACACAGTGGCCAGCATGTTGGTCGTGTGCGTGCTCCACAATTATTTGCCATCATTCAAGGCAACAAAAATCACTCATTCCGTGTACCAGACTTCATCTGACGGCGGTGAGCGTTCTTTCATGTCGAACGTTGCTTCGCCTTCGGGAACACGGGAGCCATACGATGCGCGGGATCGGGACACAAGAATATGCCTCGGGCTTCACGATGCACATGGATCCGCTGGTTTTCTTACATGACGATCTGGATCTTGAGACTTGAAGTTCGGGGACTGCTGGATTCTAGGATGGTGAATGCGCCGCGTTTTTTTGTACGTGTCATTTTATACCATGTTCTATCGCCATTCACGAGAACAGCTTAGTCCGTAGTGTCAGACTCATATTGATGTTGTCGAGTTGTCCCATGCCGCATTTTACTTCGTCTTCGAGAATACGGCGGCAGCAGTATTGTACCACGTGGGATCGTTCTCGAGAATACCCTTTGGCTTCACAATGCGCATAGACACGTTAATTAGCAGACATGGGGATCTTTACCGCGGAGGGAGGAGTAGTGAGGCCCGAGTCGTGAAAGATGGCGAGGCAGAATGAACCACCCGAGGGGATATATTAAACGCAGGGGAAAGGTCGCTCATATCGTAAGGTACAGCTCTTCCACCGAGTATTGACATATACCATACGTAATTGTAACGATACCCAGATGAGCGATTCCCGCCTTTCTCTATGAGCAGTCTGGTGTCCTGGGACGTCAAGTCTATAGTCAATCTGTTCAAGCGTGGTAAAAGGTCTACGTAGCCATGCAAGCTTCAGGCGCTCTGCCTCTGCTTTTCACTCATGATACTATACAGCGCAAGTCCTCCTAGTCCAAAGCCGAGTAATCGAACGACCACCAAAGGCCAGTATTCTGTAGTCAACTTGTTATACTTTGCGCCCATAGCGTCCACAAAGGAGAATATAGACCCCTTTAGATCATCAAGGGCAGAGTGGAGAGCAAGATAGCGATCATCGACGGACCCTTGAAAAGACGTGCATGTGATGTAAGTAACATAAAGGATATTGACGAAAGGATAGTGGTCACCTCGAAGCATTCCGTGCATGATGAAACTTAGGTTAAAGAGAACCGCGATTACAAGCTCGTGCAATAGCAGAAGAGGCAGTAACACCACGATTGGTCCGAAAAAGATCGTAAAAGATGCGATGTGGACAACATGTGGATGGGTCACAACTGTTCATGAATCATATGGCTCGTGAGACAACTCACAGTGTACAGATTATGAGGACGGGAGCGTACAGAGCCATTGGGTAGCATGAAACGCCTGGATCGGCCAGTTTGAGGGGCGGTCAAACATATTGCGCGCAACTTCAACTAGGGAAAGCGGTCAGCGGACGTCTCGGAGGTCGCTTCGAAGAAAAGACTTACTCAGATTCTCCCAGGTTAATAGACGGAGCAACCATTGCCAGGAGCTACGAAGGAAAGGCAACAACACCTCCCCTGTTATCCCTAGAGTAAGGCAAAATGCTGGGTCCAAGCTCCTTATAAAACCGACACTCACAGAAATGCAGGCAGACAATGCCGATCCAATGGGCTGCATGCTGAATCAGGCACAATATGTCAACAAACTTGGCGTCCAGCCAGCTGCCGCTGGGATCAAGAGGCGCCAGATACATCGATTACTTAGAGTCTAGTAATGGAGATGGATAGAGAGCAAGGGATGGGGGTGTTCTATAGAACCATGCGCATGCTGTTGTATACAACTTGATTGCTAGTAGCCACGCATTAACCCTGTGCCTGCAGGACCGAGCATGTTGATCGCGTACTCAGGCTAACCAAGCTTCCTCGGACATACGTGTAGGGAAGTTTTTGAGAGACTAAGGAAGCTGCAATATCAATAGTCCATTCAATGGCCGAATATTAATGTCGGGTATGGTGTAACGGCTAACATTGCCGCCTCTCATACAATTCAGATAGTGGTGATCGCGGCAGCTCGGGGTTCGATTCCCCGTACCCGAACTTTTTGTCACTTTTGACCATTTTAGTTCGCACTCAAACTTTCGGTCCTATTCTAGATTCCAGTACAGCTTCAGGCAGAACTGAGATCATTCCAATTCAGAGTCTCGTCCGATGAAGTAAACCAAAAGTGACTCCTCTACTTGTATACATGTATCTCATCCAAATTAGACACTCCCCGATCCTTCGATTTTGCCATTCTGGTGGCCCATAACACTTTCAATAACACCCTTGACGAGCTCAACATCTGGCCTTGCAACGTCAATGATCCTCTTTTCTTTGTCCAGCAGGCCACGGAATTCCTCGGGTAGCACGTCACGATCGAAGTTGAACTGTGGCGACCCAGCTAGTGCGCGTGAAACCGCTTCCGAGAACTTGGCGGGGTGTGCGGTCGACAGCACAATTTGGTGAGTATTCGGAGAACTAACGGCATGATGAGCACTACGCTGAAGTCATGCAGAACAAAGCCTACTTTGTCTTTGCGACGATACGCGAAGCAGCGAGGGCGACAGCAGTGTGAGGATCAGCGATGTATGGGTCGTTTCGTTGGAAAAATGCCTGAATTGTCGCCAGGGTCTGTAAAACGCGGGTCAGATGGGCATCAACGACAGGGATGGGGAGTATACGGTTACCTGTTCATCGGATATTCTTTCCGCCGAGAAATCTTTCCTAGCGGACTCGAGGACGGCGACCGGCAGCTCAACGCGACCGTCGGCCTTCATCCGCGCCATCCAGCTGTGTAGCAGCCTCCCAGCCTCCTTATGCTTCTCAGCTTGGTCGCCAGCTGCGTTGTCGAACGCAAGGTACCATAGTAGCCGCTCAAAGTTACTTGAAACCAAAACATCCATCGCTGGGCTCAGCGTCTCCTTCACCCCCGACGATGCTGTTCCCTGCTTTCCATCAGAGGCTCCAGCCGCGGGCGCTGTCGGCCCGTCGCCCATCACTGAAGAATCGACCTTCTCATACTTCCCACTCTTCCAGAATCGCGCGAGGATGTCGTTCTCGTTAGTCGCGACAACCAGTTTCGACATTGGCAGGCCCATACGCTTGGCATAGTAACCAGCGAGGACGTCGCCAAAGTTTCCTGTTGGGACGACGTATTGAATTTCGATTTCGTCGATGTTGGTTCCGCTAGGGAGTTGGGATTGGAGGTGGAAGTAAGACAGGAAGTAGTAAACAGTTTGAGCTACGATGCGGGCCCAGTTGATGGAGTTCACAGCAGCCAGACGGTGTGTTGAGTTGAATTCCCTGTCACCGAAAAGGGATTTTAGGATATCCTAGACAGCGCAATATTAAAAGCATCAGCGTTGAACGACGTCATCCTTCAAGATCGTACGGACCTGGCAATCGTCAAAAGTTCCTTTAACAGCAAGGTTGTGCACGTTAGCGTCGGTGACGGTGGTCATTTGAGCTTCCTGGATGGGGGACACGCGTCCTTTCGGATGGAGGATGAATATAGAGATGTTTGCCTTGTTGCGAAGTCCATAGATTGCTGCACTAAGAGGAAGTTGTTGAACGGAAGATCGTGAATGAGCATCAGTTATGCTAACCTTCCTGTGTCACCGCTCGTCGCACCAACGACAGTCAACCTCTCTAGCTCCTCTCCTGCACTCTTTGTGGCGTTTCTACGGAGTAGGAAGAATTCGAATAAGTTGCCGAGCAGCTGAAGCGCGACATCCTTGAACGCAAACGTCGGCCCGTGGAAGAGTTCCAATACGAAGGTCTTGTCGTCCAGCTTCTTCAGAGGAGTGACATCCGGGTGTCTAAACGTTTTGTAGGATTTCTCGACGAGCTGCCGAAGCTCTGCCTGAGAGATCTCGCTCGGGGAAATGTATAAGGACAAGACAGCGACCGAGAGGTCAATGAAAGAGTAGTCTTTCCATTCGGATTTCCAGTTTTGTGGTAGAGCTGGGATGCTCTCGGGAATGTACAATCCACCATCGGGTGCCAGACCCGTAAGTACTGTCTGTAAAAAGCAGAAGGCCGATCGGTTCAGTGTGCCAGTTCAGATATCGAGAAATCGATGGACCTCTTCGAAAGAGAGCCTTTCGTCCCCGCCCCGAGTCGAAAAATACTTCATGGAAGATGAGATAGGGGCTTGGCAGAGATCGATTCAATAGTGACTCCGTTCCTGTATATTTGGCTGCAGCGTCCGCGAATTCAAATAATTTCGTCCGAAATATCCGAAGAAGTCCGACTCCTAAAATGGCCGCCTTATTCGAGAATGTCTATATAGTTGTCTTTGCCTCGGTCTGCACTCAATCGACATGAATACCCATCGCTGACGTTGACCTCCTTATTTGGTCGCGGATGTATGCAGTGGCACGAACAAGAAGATGAAGAACTATGGCACGCCCTCCTGGAATAACATTGGTGTCCAATTAAAAGGGCTACATGCAGCACCACGGAGACTACTATACGTACCACCCCGCGCCTGCCACAAATGGGTCTGGCTAGCCCCGAGGCCAAACCGCTCATCAAGCCCCTGCATTTGACTAGGTGTTATCTGTTACCGACAACCTATAACAAGCCTCCGTAGACATTTGGTAGACATACAATTCTAAGTACACGATTGCGCTAAAATTATATTTTCGATATCTTCATTCCCGTAATAGAAACGCAGGGCATCTTTCTCCTCCTCAGTGGGACTCAAACTCGGATCCTCCAATCTCCGAAGAAAGAAACGACACCGAATTCCGCTGCGCACACCCGCTTTCACCGAGGAAAACATTCGAAGGGACTCCCCGAATGCCTCCCTGGCATCGGGTTTTTGCCCCATCTTCGCCCAAGCACGCCCCATGTGCTCCAGCGTGTCAGCCATAGCAAGCGGAGAGCCAAACGACTTGCAACTCTCGAGAGCTTGAATCAACAACTTGAGCGCAGCGTCATAGTCACCTGTCGCGATAAAAGCGCCAGCGAGCATTGTCATCGGCCCTGCTTGGTATTCAGGATATCCACTTTGTCCAAATTCCTCCACAGCCAATGTTGTCCACCTCTTAACCTGATCATAATTCTGCTGGGTGCCGTAAAATGCCGCCAGCCCGATCGCGCATCTAGCGGCCTGGAAAATATCCCCGACCCCTGTAGATGCAGCCCTGGCGCGCTGGATTAAATCGATGGCGTCGGCGTAGCTCCTTTGGCTTGCTGCAAACTGCCGTTGCAAAGTTCCAGAATAATAGAGACACAAGGCAAGACCTTGGGGGTTGTTAATGGCTTCGAATTCTGATCGTGCCTTCTCAATACGTGCTTTGTCTTCTTCGTATACGGTCTGCCCACTGTAGGAATTGACATACACGACCTTGAGGAGGCACTCGCCAGCTTGTTTCATATCAGGGATCAAGAGAAACGAGTTGCGTGCTAGGATATAGTGTTCCCGGGCATCATCGTAGTGATCGAGGCTAGTCAGAATGTCGCCATAGCAACGATGAGTTGCGCCGAGGAGGTTGGAACTCTCTTCCATTTCGTATACGAGCTTCAAAGCATGTTGGACGACATCGGTACGCGGCCTGATCGAGTCTTGGTGCTTCGCTAATGCAAGGAGGGACGTAATCAGTCTTGGTGTGGATTGCGTGCTCTCAAGCAACAGGGCCTGTAAATTCCCTTCCTCAATGGAAAGTGCTGCGGTATGGTCTTTGTGCACGTCATCACCGCGGGAGGACGTGTGCTGCGACAAAAAGTTGCACGCTGATTCGATCATAGAGATGCGGAGGGTAGGAGGAACACGCGATGGATCAAGGATGTAGCGTTTGATGACTGGAAGAACAACGAAAGTGGAATTTTGCTCCTCTACCAGGGACGTTTCCCTGAGAACTGCGAGTGCGCCACTCAGATTTGGCACGCTACGTGCCCACCACTTTGCTAACTTGCCATAGGTAGTCCCGACTGGTAACATGGCAAGAGTCGCAAGTAGGTCGAACGCCTTCGGATGTCGCTCCATGGAAGGTCCATACACAGACAGGCCGATACATATATCCATGCTGTGCTCTGCGTCGGAACCTTGTTCAAGCATGGCGGTACCGTTCCTATTGTACTCCTTCACCAGGTCCTCCGCGGACAGTCCGGTGAGTTTTCCGACCTTAGCCATCAGTGTTATAGCTAATGGCATATGCCCGACTAGTCCGAGCAATTCTGGAAGCTTGGCGTCGTCGTGACCCTTGGCGTAGATGCTTATATATATTCTACGGGCTGCATCAGAATCAACAGCGGGCAGATTCACGACGTGCCATTGGATATCGTCACAAGGCGGAGTGGCGGATCTCATGGTGACGAGGAAGGAAATACGAGGTATTCGGCTGATATCTCTGAGTATCTGCTCAACCTCGGCCCGCCCTCCATTAATGCTCCAAGGTGTCTCGAAATTATCGAGCAAAAGAACGAGGCCCTGGGACGACTGGAGTTCGAAAATGATGTCATCGTGCGTATTCCCCGTGTTCCGTGTGGTTCCTAGGGATGAGTATAGGGTATCGAGGAAGAGAGAGACAGATGTGGCTTTCACACAGGGCACCCAAACACGGCTACTCTCAGGGAGATACTGCTTCATGTCAGGATGGGCCATGATTGCGCGCGCCGTGCATGTCTTCCCCATCCCACCAGGCCCTAGAAGACAGACTCGAGGACACTCCTGACCCTCCGAGACGTCCATCAGTACACGGACAAGCTCAGCCACAAGGGCATCACGGCCGTGAAAATTGCCCGTGTTTGCAGGAACGAGAGCACGGGTGCCTGACTGCGATGAAGACGAGACTGCGGTTGGACGGTTATTGAGGATGGCTTTGACGTCCTCCATCGTAGCTTTCACATCGTGCACTGCAGCTTGAATATTATCGAGGGACTGCTGCTGGTTGGAATAGAAGATACGAATCTGCTTTTCCAATTTGTGGAGGACATTGGCATGGTCGATTTCGCGCGCGAGCTAGAGAGAACAGTTTTAGTCCAAGAAACCAATACAGCTCCCCTCAAAATTATCTCACGTTGAATTGCTCCAAGGAATTGCTCAAACGATC